GCCTCTACAGCCCTCCTACCACTGAAATCTGGGCAGGCAAAGCCAACTCAGTTTATTACTCTCTTTTTGTAGCTGACAAATTACAATTGTTCATTAATTTGTGGTGGTACACTTAAGGAAATTAATTGCTGATTATTTTTTTTCCAGAGGACTCTGCATTTTGTAGCGTTTTCTCTATTCAAAGCAGAACGTTCATAACCTTCAGCAAAAACTGTGAATGCACAGCACTTTTTTCAGAGTAAGTCCTGTTTTTAAACTCAGGCCTACCGAACATGGAGATTACACTCTGCATCCAAATTTTTAGTTTTCTGTGGCTTACATGGCATAGAAAAACCTCGGTACAGACAGGGACAGTTGAGTTCTCTGAGCACTGCTCTGCAGCCTGAGGGAGAACCTTACTCAATCTTCATGTTGTCTTTCTTTCGCTGCGCAGAGTACAACTGATGCTGCAAAAGAAATAAAAACTATACAGGCAACACCCTCCCTGAAAGACCTCAGCTAACCAGGAGACCACTGTATATCCTGTGCAGGGAATTTAGGCAGGGAAGTTTTGGACAATCAGTTATGTGACTGTGTACCATGACATGCCTTGATACACAGGCTACTTCAGTTCTCAAATTTCCCAACGTTTTTTTTTTTTTTACTGAATGATCAACCTCAGCATTCTTTAGTATAGCCTTTTTTGTGTGTCTGTGCAACTTCCTAAATTGATTCCTTCTTTCCTACCCAATTAAAAAAAAGATAATAGAACATATGGAGCCACACCAACACCCACAGCGCAGCCTCACAGAGCCTGCATTATGGCATCTTCTTCAGCCCTGAAATCTACAGTTCATCAAGTGTTAAACTTTACAACTGCCGTAATAGATGTTTTACCACGGAACACAGAAAGTAATTTTTAGCGAAAGAAACAACATTGCCATTCTTACCACCAGCAGAATGTCAGTTACCCAATTTGTGCCTACTCATTATGGCTTTTTAAAAGTAAAAGGACACTGACACTTTGGAAGCTCGAGGTATAATCAGGGACTGGAGGAACAGGCTTTTGTAGTCAAAGGGCTTTCTGTCCTCACTCTTTTCTGACCTTTGCCCCCACATGTTCTTCCCTGATCATCTCTGACCTCGACCTTGCTGTAGCTGCCAGGCCCAGCTTCAAACCTGTGCTCCAGGTTGCTGCTTCTCTCCTCCCGCGGCCAAGCTCAAAGAGCAGCTGTGCCAGGACCAACCAACTTCTTTACTCAGCTTCTGGTCTGGGAGCTTCAGCACCTCCTGGATGATGGGAAAAACAACTAGGATGGCTCAGCTGCTGCTGACTCAAGTTAGAACCAAGATTGCTTGGAGCTACAAAAGATTTATCTGTTAAACTTGAGGACAGTAGGGCCTGGAGAAACCTTAATTTAACTTGGAAATATTTGGACAAATTTTCACAGGCCATGCAGCAGGCATATCTAAGGATGAAAAGGCAATGAGTCTGCCAAATTGCAAGTCTTTGTTCCAAAGTATGAAAGTACTAAAGTTTTCCAGCCAAACTGTTTAGAGGATTTAAGAGGAAAAAAAGCCTGTTTCATTTTTATGATCTTCTTCTGAGAAATAGCTGAACAACTTTCATTAAGTTTCCCAGAAGAATTCAGGCTGGAGCAGGCAACCAGCATGGAAGATGCTAGCTGGAATAGTGAAGGTCTGGCAAAATAATAAGGTACTGCAAAGAGGGTCTTGTAATTCATCAAAAAGATAAACGTGCCTCTCCAAACAATGTAGGTATTTTCAGTGTAGGCAGTGATTAACATATTCTAAAAGCATAAATTCTACCTTCAACATACTCTTCCATTTTGAGTTTTCAGATTTTATTGGCACTTGTCTTGAATGTTTCAGAACTACATAGTTTTCTTACTGATCTCTCTAAGCTGGGTCTTATAACACTTTTAAATCAACTGTACCATGCCACTGGACCCTGAGAACGGTAGAGAGAATCGGGAAAACGTACACAACGTAAATAGAGGTAACTGTTCTCTCTGCAAGTATCAGATGACAAAAGGGCTAGGAAACAAACTGATACAATAATCTTAGCAGTTAATTCCTAAATATATATGCTACAATCTAAATAGAAACATTTTTCACACTCCACTTGCTAAGCAGATATATTCCCCTGGTGGGTTTGCTCCACAGTTTTAACTGGATTCAGCACTTTAACAGAAAACAATACCTCAGTGAATCTTCTTGCAGCTCTCAATCCACCATTGACTTGCACTGACTATGTATCAATGCAAAAAATTGTGATGCATTGAAAACAAATTACAGGGATGGAATAAAACAAAGGCATTTAACATTATGCTATAGAGATAAATTGCTTTCCTCTACATTTATTTATTTAAGATTTACTTTGATGCTTCCAAAGTCCCATACAATGTACATTCACTTTACTGTGGAGTACATTCGGATCTCAGATGACGCCACCTAGCAGTGTGTCAGTCACAGGTGGTCAATGCCATACTTAAAACTGTAGTTCTTGCATAGTGCAGTAAGCATTAACGGAGTTCAGGTTCCGTGTATCAGTTTAACTCCAACTCTGTAATGAGTGAGGAAAAAAGGAAGATGCTAATATGGATGCAGATTTGAACTTTTTTTAACTTCGCAACAATTCAGATCCATGATTCCAGTCAAGCTATTCCGCTACATCCGTTTTAACCCACTTTCCCCTTGCCCCAAAAATTCACAAATGAGAAAGAAAGTGAAGACCGTGACAGTTTATTCAGGAAAACTGTACCTGTCTGGTAATGTTGTACGTATACATATCACAGCTTAATTTCCTGCTGGACTTGTACATGTCATTAATACTAATGTCCTAGAATTCTTCAACTGGACCAAGATCAATTTCTGAACAGGTCTTGCAGAATCAGTTTGATTGTAGTCTGATGTAATCGTTGCAAAGACATTTAAAAAAACAGCATCTGGCTCAAGCAAATAGAAGCCATGGAACTCAGCTCAAGCATAGCTCATCACTATCTCACATAATTAAATGACATATGGGAAGCTGGGACACTGCTGGGAAGAGCTGTTAGGGGAAGTGATGAGTTTCAAATACAGACCAGGACACTATGAGGAAGATAAAGAGCAGGTTAGCCCAATGACTATGGTCCTTATTCAATGGTCAGCCTTGTTGCCTGCAGAATTTGTAATAGCCTAGCAATGGAGTTTTCCTCACTGATTGTCTTTTCTTTTAAAAATACAGGTTTTATCCCTCTTCATTATTCTGTATTTTTATTTCTTCAGGTAGGTACTAGAAGCACTGCCAAACACAGCTTGAGCAAAATAGAAATCTTGAAGCATTTGGGGATGAATCTTAAATCTGAAAGTACATTCTTACATTTATTTCTCTAAAACAGAGGTGTGGGTTTAAGCTACAGAAACTGACATGATTAGGCGAAAGAACTGCATGGTTTCTGCTGCATGAGGAATGATTTGTACTTAAATGTAACTGTTGCTTAACTTTGTTGTCCAGGCTTTCATTTGTTTAAGCTATGTTTGATTGATTTAATTAAAAACAAAAAAGTAAGCATTTTGCTTCCTTGGAAGGTTTTGTTATTTTTGCTTAGAAGAAAAAAGATAGGATAAATAAAGAACTCTTTCATACTGACCTATAAGAAGGAAACCAATAGGTAAGAAACACAGACTTCAGACTTAATTCAAGGGAAATAAGCCAGAAAACTCTTTAAAAGATAGTGTTTACATATATATAAATGCACCCTGCTTGTCAAAAATATTTATACAAAAATTAAGACAATTGTTAATTCTTGAGAGTTACAAACATAAAAATGCCATGTTTTCCAAGTCAGTTTAGCCATGACTTGTTTCAGATCATTTATATTACTGAACATCCCCAAAAATCTGTCACTTAGTAAACTAATGAATCACAGTGGAGTTTCAACTCAGACAACTAGCAATGTAAATGCAAATCTGAATTTAAACTGAATCAGCAACTGAACAATGAGCAGATTATTTCAAACTTTAAAAAGTGATGCAGCTACACAGCTTGCATTCATATCCCCTTGATAAACATATTTTTTATTAGTTTAGCTCTTCAAATTTCCACTCACAGTAGTGCTGTATACTAAAAAAAAACCAAACAACCCTCACTGTATTATTCAGTTCAGAAAGGGAATTAAGTGGTGTATTTTTGTATATGTGCTTAACATCCCAGTACATGTAACAAGTAGTCTCCTTTTTCAGGGAAAGCGTAATAGATTTAAGATCTCCTTTTTGAGACAACGTTTGTCCTAAGACCGTACTGGCTGTGCAAACTGGATGGCAGCTGATTTTTTTTCCAGTCCATGTGAGGTTTCATAATCAGTTCTTGTCATAGGCATTAACCCTTCATTCATTCAATCATAAAAATGTGACTTACTAGAAAAGGAAAAATAGATTCTAAAGGCACAGAATCACATAGCTGCTCTAGTAGGAGTCTGTAAACAGAGAACCGTTTGAATTTAGGAAATCCAAATCTAGGAAAATAAAAAGGCATCTGAAGCAGGCTTTTATCTAGCCAGCTTCCTTAAAGACCCAAAGGGTTTTGAGGTCTACAAAGTATGCACTAAAATACCGTATTTCAAAAAGCAATAAGGCAAATAGTATACTCGTTATTTCAAAAAAGTTACAATGGTAGTGTAGGCATACACAGTATAACTTAGTTACAATGCGTGGTACTGTTTCTGCTACATAGCCCTATAACTGCTTCCTTTCTACATAATCAGAGATTAAACTGGGGTTCCAGGTGAACACAAAACCATCCTTGTACCACCGTCTACCACTGGAAAGTTCTTCAGCAGCAGCATTTGCTTTGCTGCCTGGGTCACATCCATGCTCAGGGAAGTCCACAAATCAAAGTTCAGAGATTAAACACTGTCATACTTGTGAAGAGCTTCTTCTAGCTTTTGTGTCACTTTTTGGAAAAAGAGTATTTGCTGTTGCAAGAAATGCTGCATCTGTGATTTAAAGTCCCTCACACGGATTTTGTGGAAATGATTAATTTCTGCTAAGGTTGCAAAAGAAATAATGTTACAGCGTTCTTGAATGCCCTCAGCTTTTTGGAGCTCCATCTTCCCCTCTTCCACATGCCGCTTACTCTCCTTTACTTTGGTAAGAGCTCCTGTGTAAAGAACAAAACAAAACAGTTGAACTGTGAGCACAATGTAGACTTGACTACTGTACTTTAGCGTACTTTAGAGTGATTTAATAACAACAAGGATTTGTATAAGACTCACTCTAAATGTATTTATGTGTGTGCACATATACCTGAAAAGGAATAAAAAGTTTTTTCATATAAAAAACCCCCACAGCACAGTGAACCTTATTTAAAAAAAGCCCACACCTTTTAAAGGAACTAGTGTGTAAAAGTTAGTAAAATGTACCTACTTCACAATCTTAAAAATCAAATGGTGTCCTACAGAAAGTAAATGCAAGCACTAGACAACTAGTCAGATCAATTTAAGCCTATGTAAACACCATAAAAGTAATCTCATTAAGAAATTTGATTTTGCGAAACTCTTCCCCGTTTTTGTGAAATGTCAAAAGGAGATCTGAATACAAAAACGCATGCCAATACACCATTCTGCTTTCACAGTACAGATACCCCAAAATGAATTATTGAGAGAGAATCTACTGAAGTCACAGACATCCAGGTAGACCTAATGCAGTCTTGTAAGAGCTAAAAGAAAAACAGAGCATAAGAACAGTCCTCCTTCTCCAAACAGCTAATTAAAATGCACACATTCTACAAAACCAGAATTATCACACAAATCAGACCTATGCAAAGCAGACTCATACAATGACAGAGTATCAAGATATGTCTTACATTTGTATGCTTGAATTTGATTTCTCACAGAGCAACTTCTTTGCCTTAAATATTGCATATGTATTTCATTCATATAGCTAAACTCAACCAGAACAATACAGCTTTTATCTTCTCACGAGATGTTAGCCATAAGATACTGTCCATGTCCTTTATGATCATGCTTAAGTTACTTGTTCCTTCAACTATCTCTCTTTTCAGATAACACTTCTTACTGTAGACACTGTCAGCACTCCCTTTATGTTGCCACAAAGAAATGCTTTTCTGTACTCCCTACAGTGACATGACAGAGAAAACTCTCTCCGCATATATTCCACGGGGACAACCTCCACTCTATCTGCTGGGGCAGCAGGTTAGTCTTCTCTGCCAGACTGAACACACACATGCAGTAAGCACCACTGAGCAGTAAAAATGCAGTTCAGTAGCAGGAATACTATCTTCCGTCCAAGCCATTTTGAATGTGCCTCCTCCCACCGCCCTGACACATCTCTGCAATTCAGACCTGGAGCACGACCTTATGCGCAGACCTTGTGCCAGGGTTTGCTGCAGGCACAGCAGGTCGGGAGCCAGACATGGAGTATGCCTCACGCTGCGTTTCATTCTCATCTCCCTTGGCCGTGTGCTGCAGCTCATCCTCTGCCCACCTCCAATGCCTCACCAGGTAGGCAGATTGAATAAAGAGTCAAGGTATGCTCTCACTAGAAGCAAGCTAAAACATCAGCTGACTTGGCAGACTTGGGGAAAAAAAAAAGAAGAGTTTGCTGCATTTCTGAAATGAAATTGGGGTTGTGTCTTGCATTATAAATAAAATCTGGAATTCCTAGCATCAGAGAGGCATGCGTGACTTTTCTCAATTCAACAACTTGTTAACTGTTGTGGGGGTGGGGGGGTGGTGTTTAATTGCAAACACTTGGAAAATACTTCCTCTGTCATCAGTACTCCTCTCCCCTTAGAATCATATCTTTCTGTTTAATTTTCATTTGGGCTGTGCTGCACATGGCATCTGCTGTCTGCAGCCCTGGCATGAGCTCTCTCAGTTGTGCAGATAGTGTGATGTACTTTCAGAAAGACGATACCAATGATCTGCCTCCTCTTTTTTAAACTGTGGCTGGGAGGTTATCAGCAAGGTAAGCATAGACTGCAGCCTGCATGGCCAAGGATACTGACATTCGACAGGCAGAGGCCACACGCTGAACCTTCTGCGCCACCGAAGGTCAAGGCCAAGGGCCCTCCCAGCGGGCTGCAAGGTGGTGGCAGGGCTCTACACCTTCCTGGCGCCACGGCATACTGGCATGGTTGCTAACAGCACATCACTGGCTGCTTCAGCTGGTTGACCTCATGATCTCCAGTCTGGCCCTCAAAAAATCACCAAAAAGCCATTTCCACACACAGCAGTGCCAGCAGTGAGACTGCTCTCCCCTAAGGAGTGAGGTACTTGTGAGGTAGGGCATGATCCCAAAAATATTTAATCCCCTCTTCTGCACAAAAGGACATTTCTTTCAATAAACAAAAGCAGGCTCGGCAAAAATTTTCTCTGCATTCTGTGGGCATGGCAGGAATCCTTGCACGTCTGTGAAAAACTGAAATTTGGGACTTACTGGAAGCCAGATGGAGCTGGTTAAATAAACACGACAGCTCTTCAGTTGTGATGTGGGGAAAAGCTTTAGATGTTATTTCTAGAATGACCAAACTGGAAGAAAAATACTAAAATTTACAGGATCAGCAGCTGAAAGCATAACTAAGTTCTGGAGCATGTATAATCTTAAAATTATTTTACATCAACAAATAACATACATTATCAAACACTAAAGCCCTCCAGACTAGACATGTTATGCATTTTTTTTTCCTTAAAAAAAAGAGGAAGATTTATAAGTAGGGAAATCCAAAGAGAAAACTTGCAACCATTAACGCTGCTCTTTATGCAGATTCATACTGATCCTGTAGTAGAATTTCTGTTAAAACCTAGACAGACTACAACCAACATCAGCAATATTTTTACATTATTTTAGGTCAAAGAACCTTCCCCAAACACACAGAAAGTCCATGCGCTTCATTTTAAGAAGCAACTGATCATTTGTTCTAAACCACAATTTTTAATTTGTTCAGCATCTACTTAATTTTCTAGGACTTAGTTCACTAAATCTTAGAAAGTGTTCTTAGTTTTCACAGAAGTAGCTTTACTAACAACAACATACTACAATTTCTCCCAAATTTTCTCCAAACGCTTCTCCATAGCCTACAGCCCTTGTATTTTAATCTAAATAAGCAAACTTCTGAGCCAGAGCAGAGACTCACGGATGTTGCAGGTGCAACAACTCATGCAGGTTTCTAATGGAAAACAGGGGGAGGAGGACAGGGTGAGGGAATTAGGGAATAGAGAGCACCCTTTGTGTGCATCCCTGCTTGAAAACAAGGGTTTTGTGCAGAGATGCCCCAGCAGGGGACAAGTTCCATGGTAACTTTAATGCCCCACAGCCCCCAACTCCTAAGCCATCACAACCCAGGCTGTACCTCATCAACTCCCCCACCTCCATCCTCACTAAAAAACCCATCACCCTCAGCACCTAACTCAGCACTTCCCAGCTCCCACCACCACCCTCGCAGGCTGCTGAGGCTGAGCAAGCCCCCTCCACTTTAAATGCACCAGCAGAAACCCCTTTGGGTTTCTGAAATTAATGTGAACATCTAGTATTGGTTTGGATAACCCCAAAAAGCAAGATGTATTTAAAAAAAAAAAACCAAACAAAAAAAGCAAAATTATGACAGCCCCAGAAAAGGCTAATACACATCAGGGAAATGAAACAGAAGGAGCCACCACCTAATGCATATTAGTTCAGAGAAACCTTCTGCTGAATGCATGCCTAGGATAAGTATCTGCCAATACACTGCTCCCAGAGTGGAATGCATAAAACCAAATTCTTGGGTTATTTTAGATCCAGCCCTACAGATTCTGTAAAGTCTTGCTCGTGCATTTAGAGCTTCTGATCTGCTGAAAAGACTCCATGTCAGGAGACAATGTTCCAGTCATAAGGACTAGCTTTCGAACAGTGAAGATGGCCTGGATCAAAAATGCTACAAAAAACAGTTCTGCATCTATTTCTTTTCTCAAAGGTGGGGAAAAGCAGATGTGAATGCTGTTTTTCAGTGCACAAGGCCTGATGTTAAACAGACCGTGGCGCTCACTGAATGCTGCTAAGGGCTTAAGAGAAACTTCCAGGTTTCAGTGCTTGTTATGAAGCATGGGATTAGACAAGACAATAAAAGCACAGTTAGAAGAGAACATTTCTAGTAATGTGCTAGTGGCGAGGAAGACAGGGACAATGTAAAATTCTTACTAGGAGAAAATACTTCCAAGCTGTAAAATACACAATACAAACAACAACTGACGAGATACCAGAAGAAAAGCAAGCGTACTTAGCCAGGAAGCTGCCCATGCAAACATGAGGGTGCAATGAAGCAGGAAGTCACATACATTCAGGAAAATTAAATAAAAAGAAGAATTCCTGAAATTAAGAGCACTCAGGTTTGGGACAAACACTATTTTTTCACATGACTTGCTGTTTTATTACACTAATAAATGTTTTCAGATTGCACAAAACATCATGGTTTGAATCCATAATTGTAGCCACTTTCCCTCCACACTCTGTGTATAAGCACATGTAAACCTATGCAGATACGTATATGTCTACAGGCTCTCCCTGCTACCAGCAGCCAGTCTTACAATGGTTCTTCACACTTAGCATGTTATCTGGACACAAGTACACACTGCAGCCTGCAACACGAGCAGAAGGCAAAAGTTCTGCCTCCTGTCATAAAGACTCCAGACAAGATTGCTCTTCCCACCTGAAGTGAGGTCTGCCCTGTGCCGGCCAGCATTGGTGATCACAAGCTGAAGAAGTGCAGGAACTGCTAAGTGTGCCTCTTATTCTCAATGCCCCATTTCCACCTTTTCTCAAAATGCTCAGAACATCAGCTTTCACACGCATACAGCAGTCAGGAGTGAAACAGCTATGTTTGAAGCTACTAATCCAAATAAAGATACGCCGAGAGAAAGGGAATTCTTCAGGGCCGAAGTCAGTGAAGCTGATGGAGCAGATCATCCTAAGTTCCATTATGCAGCACATGCAGGACAACCAGGTGATCAGGTCCAGTCAGCATGAGTTTATGAAGGGCAGGTCCCATTTAACAAACCTGATCTCCTTCTATGACAGGATGACTTGCTGGCTGGCTGAAGAAAAGCCTGTGGATGTTGTCTACCCTGACTTTAGGAAGGCATCAGACACTGTTGCCCACAGCAT